GGGAAGGGGGGGGGGGGGGGTGGGGGGGGTGTCTGTGTTTATTAATGCTCTCGCTTCTCACTTGGGGCTGCGAGTGTGCGGCGTCTGCCCTTGTGCGAGCGCCTGTGTGTGTGTGTCAGCGTCTGCGTGTGCGCGAGTGTGACTGCGTGTCTGTGTGTGAGTGCGCGGGTGTCTCTGTGCGCGTCTGTGTGTGAGTGTCTTGTGTGTGTCTGTGAGTGAATGCCTGCGGGTGAGTGCCTGTGTGTGTGCGAGTGAGTGTGTGTGTGTGTGAGAGTGCGTGTGTGTGTGTGAGTGCGTGTGTGTCCGTGAGTGTGGGTGAGTGTGTGTGTGTGTAAGTGAGTGTCTGTGTGTGTGTGTGTGTGTCTGTGAGTGTGGGTGAGTGTATGTGTGTAAGTGAGTGGTCTGTGTGTGGGTGAGTGTGTGTGTGTGTCCGTGAGTGTGGATGAATGTGTGTGTGTGTGTGTAAGTGAGTGTCTGTGTGTGTGTGTGTGTAAGTGAGTGTCTGTGTGTGTGTGTGTCCATGCGTTTGTGTGTGTAAGTGAGCATCTGTGTGAGTGTGGGTGAGTGTGTGTGTGTAAGTGAGTGTCTGTGGGTGAGTGTGTGTGTGTGTAAGTGAGTGTCTGGGTGTGTGTGTGAGTGTCCGTGAGTGTGGGTGAGTGTGTGTGTGTAAGTGAGTGGTCTGTGTGTGTGTGTGTGTGTGTGTCCGTGAGTGTGGATGAATGTGTGTGTGTGTGTGTAAGTGAGTGTCTGTGTGTGTGTGTGTCCGTGAGTTTGTGTGTGTAAGTGAGCATCTGTGTGAGTGTGGGTGAGTGTGTGTGTGTAAGTGAGTGTCTGTGGGTGAGTGTGTGTGTGTAAGTGAGTATCTGTGTGTGAGTGTGTGTCCGTGAGTGTGGGTGTGTGTGCCTGCGTGCGCGCGTGTGTGTGCCTGCGTGCGCGCGTGTGTGTGCCTGCGTGCGCGCGTGTGTGCCTGCGTGCGCGCGTGTGTGTGCCTGCGTGCGTGTGTGTGCCTGCGTGCGCGCGTGTGTGTGCCTGCGTGCGCGCGTGTGTGTGCCTGCGTGCGCGCGTGTGTGTGCCTGCGTGCGCGCGTGTGTGTGCCTGCGTGCGCGCGTGTCTCTGTGCGCGCGTCCTGCTTATTTAGAAGCGGCCGTTCAAAGAGGATGATGAGTATTTACACGAGGAGGGAGCGAGAGTGCACGACCACAATGGATTCTTTAAAACAATATATATATATATGTATATATCTCGTCTCAGGAGGGGAGTGGGGTACATGCCCCCACCCCCCCGCCCCCCCCACTCTCCATCTCGCCCCCTTCCCTTCCGTCCCGCCCTCCCCTATTCCTCCCACCACCCCCCTCTACCCGCCTCCTACCCTACCAGTCGAGCCCCCGTCACCCACCCCCCCTTTTCTCTTCCATCCACCCCCCCCCACTCTCCATCTCGCCCCTTCCCTTCTATTTTGCTCTGCCTCAAACCCCCCCTAATCCTCCCTTCACCCCCCCCCTCTACCCCCACCCTACCAGTCTGGTCCCTTTCTCCCCCTATCACCCTGACCCCCACACCTCCCACTACGCCCCACCCCCACCTCTCTTTCTCCCCTATCACCCTGAACCCCCCCACTCCCACTACGCCCCACTCACCCTCTTTCTCCCATCACCCTGACCCCCACACCTCCCACTACGCCCCCCCACCCCTCTTCTCCCCCATCACCCTGACCCCCACACCTCCCACTACGCCCCCCCACCCTCTCTTTCTCCCCCATCACCCTGACCCCACACCTCCCACTACGCCCCCCCACCACCCTCTTTCTCCCCCTATCACCCTGACCCCCACACCTCCCCTACGCCCCCACCCTCTCTTTCTCTCCCTATCACCCTGACCCCCCCCACCTCCCACTACGCCCCACTCACCCTCTTTCTCCCCCACCATGCCCCCCACCCTCTCTTTCTCCCCTATCACCCTGACCCCCCCCCACCACCCCCTCTTTCTCCCCCTATCACCCTGACCCCCCACACCTCCCACTACGCCCCCCACCACCCTCTTTCTCCCCTACCACCCTGACCCCCACACCTCCCACTACACCCGCCCCACCCTCTCTTTCTCCCCCTAAGAACCTGACCCCCCCACCTCCCACTACGCCCCCCCCCCCCCCGCCCCACCCTCTCTGTCTCCCCCACCGATGGCATATTTGAGCTGGGGTTTTTGAGAGCCAGTTTGCCCCCCCCCCCCCCCGCCCTCCCCACTTTGCCACACTCTCCCCCTCCCCTCCTGCCCCCAAACAAACTGACTTGAACAGATAAAAGCAAAACCTTTACAACAATTTGGCAGAGCCACAACTTTTCATTAAAAAAAATTTTGATGGTGGTGCGGTGGAAATGGGGGGGGGGAGAACTTTAATTAACGCATTGATGAACAATGTCCCACTCCCCAGAAATCCCCCCATTCCCCCCCCCCACACCCCGAGCCCTCCCACTTACTCTTTACCCTGATGGCTGGCCTCTTGTTAGTTAATCTGTCCTTCCTGCCCGGGTTAGCTCCTGGCCAGAGGGGAGAGAGCGAGCGAGGGAGGGAGGGAGGGAGGGAGATGGTGGAGGGAGTGGGGTGGGGGGGGGAGTTGTTGTAGAACAATAGTTGTAGAACAATAATCCTTGCATTTGATATAGCGACATATATGTTGTTGAGATGTCTCGACGAGTTTCACGGTAACAGCAGTAATAATAATCCTCGCATTTGCCTTGTGTCTTCGAGGCGTCTCAAGGCGCTTCACAGGCTGCGCTGTGAAGCGTAGTGACTGCTATCTTGCGGGCGAAACCCGGCAGCCAATGGCGCGCAGCAGCGGCCCCACAATCAGCCGCGGCATCGGAAGTGACCGATTTATTATTGTTATTACTATTATTATCATTATTTTGAAGGAATTATTACCCCCCAGAAAAGCGATCCACAAGCAGGTAGTGAGTGACCAATTTTACTTGGGTGGTGGTGGGCGGGCGGCGGGGGGCAGGGGTGGGGGGGGGAGACGGGGGTGTAGGTGGGTGGATGGGTGGGTGAAGGGACCGAAGGAGGCAAGATTGTTGGCCAGGACACCAGGAGAAACTCCCTCCTCCAACTAGCAACGATTCCAGGGATGGAGGAGGAAAGGGGGTGGGTGTGGGCGTGTGGGGTGGAGGGGGTGCAGGTGAGGAAGAAACCTGGGTCTCCTGATAGTGTTCGAATTTTGTATCCACAATCTCTGTGTTTCCTTCCCCACCCCCCACCTCCACACTCCCCTTAACCCATCGGTGGCCTCCATACCAGGGCATTCCTGGAAGCAATCAGTTGTGACAGGAACCTGCCTACCGCTGTGGGGAAGGGGTGTGGCGGGTAACAAGAACCATAGTAATCATCCTTGCGTTCGATGCAGCGCCTTATCACGTCTTCGAGACGTCTCGAAGCGCCTCGCGGGACATACGGTGAAGGGAAATCGACTGTGTATTGTGCGGGCGAAATGCGGCGGCCAATTGTGCACAGCAGCGTCCCCGCAAACAGCCGTGGATTGAAGTGACTGATTTTATTATTATTGCTTTGAAGAAATTATATTGGACTAAAAACTGGTTCCCTACTTATTACTGTGTAAACAGAGGCGCGCGCGCGTGTGTGTGTGTGTGTGTGCGCAGAGAAGGAAACTTGCCCAACGTTTCATCCTGCCCGGGAATCGAACCCAGGTTCCTCTCGCTTGCGAGGCGAGTGCTCTCTAACCGCTGAGCTGCAGGACTGGGCAGGGTTACAGGGTAACTCACTTGTAAACGCCACCGCATGTTACAGCGAGCGTGAGGTCGGCCTTACATTTGCTTTAGGTGACAACCTGGCTCAGTCGGTAGCAACGCAAAGCTCTCGCCTCTGGGTCAGAAGGTCGCTGCTTCGAGCCCCCCAATCCCCCAATCCCTCCCCAACCGCTCCCCTCTTCCCTCGTCAGGACTTGAGCTGACGCTCTGGGCTGATGCTCCAGTGCGGTGCTGAGAGGGGGAGGAGGTGGAGGTGAAGATGGAGGTGGCTTTGCATTGTGTTCGGATGAGACATTAAATCCCAGGTTCCCTCTGCCTTGTGTCATGGTGGTTCGGATGTCCAGTGGCTCCGCTATCACTCTCTCGTAGAATCAGAGACACTGGGGTCTTCCCTGGTTTTCTTCCTCAACCTCCTCCACTCTTCCACCCCCCCCACCCTCCTTCCCCCTCCCTCGCCCCCCTCCTCTCGTTCTCTTTGTAAAACTCTTTGGCCATTTGCAACCTGCACTGGGGCCTCTGGCTGGGGCTAAGGTCCATTTGTCTACCTGTCTGTCACCAGTCAAGCCGGTCGCACACTCCCCCTCCCCCCTTTCGTTCCCCCCCACTCCCTGCCCAGCCCTACTGATGCCCTGAGAGAAGAAAAGACTCTGGCAAGTCAGAGGTCAGAAAGCAAGGTGTGTGCTGAAGTAGGCAGATAGATGTATTAGCCCCATGCGCACTCACACACACTCACACTCACACACAGGAAGATTCCCACGAACAGCCACAAAGTTATTTGCAAGGTCGCACCACAGGTGGTTCAGATGACAGTCTGGTGAGATCTTTAACACCCAGCCTGAAAAAATAGGTGATTGAGACCCGATTAAAGGTCTCATTAGCAGGACATGGGAACAGGAGGAGGTCATTCAGCCCCACCAGCCTGTTCCGCCATTCTGTAAGATCATGGCTGATCTGTACCTCAACTCCCAATTACCCGCCCTTGGCCGATATCCTTAATCCTCTGACCTGGCAAACATCTATCCATTTCAGTCTTGAAAATTATGAATGGATCCAGCCATAATCCACAGCCTTTTGGTGGAGGGAGAGAGTTCCATTGGTTGAAAAAAACTCTCCTAATTTCACTCCTAAACGGCTCTAGCGCTAATTTTAAGATTATGCCCCCCCTTCCTCCCCGCCGCTTGTTCTGGATTCCCCCCACCCAACTGCTGACAGTGTAACACTGTCCTGGGAGCACCAGCCTAGAACTGTGAGCTCAAATTGGGTCTTGTACCTTCTGGGTCAATGGTGAAAGTGCAACCGTCTCCAGGAGAGAAAGCAAACCAAAAACGAGACGATAACTCAGGAATTGTGTCGAATGTTTTTTTTTTTGGGGGGTGGGGGGAGGTCAGCTGGCTGTGACCGTGCTTAAGAGTCTCCAAACCAAGCTGAGAATCCCATGGTGTCCCACCCACCTACACGTGGAAGGTGGAATGCACGTAATTCTCGGTTAAATTCTGTTAAAGTGCCTAGGTCCCTAGTTTGAGAGTCCAGACCATCTAAGGGACCAACACGTACTTAAAAAGGAATCATTTTTCAGAGATATGGGGTAAGAACGGGGCTGGTGGGAGTGAGGCTGATTGGGTAGCTCTTTTCAAAGAGTCGGCGCAGGCGAGACGGGCCGAATGGCCTCCTTCTCGGCTGTGTTATTCTATGGTTCTATAATTGGGAACGGTATGGCAAAGCTCCTTAAAGGGACCGCCAAAACATTGCGCAGAATGTCTCTCTTATATGTTTTCTGAGGTTGTTACTGGCATAAAATCTTGTCTCCTAAAACCTGTGGTGTGACCCGGTGTAACATGGGACCTAATTATATGGATGCAAACAGTCGTGCTATAATGTGTTTTAGGCTATTTATTGTTATGTTGTCAATACACTGTGTTATAGATTATATACCATATTATAGATGATATACTACATGATTGATAATATAGGTTCTCCCACAAAACACAGCGCTTCAAAGCGCATCCCGTGAAGCGCTGTGAGACGTCTCAGTGACGTGATTATCCTTGCATTTGATACAGCGCCTTATCGCGTCGTTGAAACGCCTCAAAAGCGCTTCACCGGATATACTGCAAAGTGGAGTGACTGTGCATTTTGTTTCCATTGCCTGCCGTGACACAAAAATCTCATTGCTTTTTGAGGCTGGCCAGGAGATGTTTTTCTTCGTCAACCGGGGAAATCCATCACCGTTGCTCAAGAGTCTCCAAACCAAGCTGAGAATTCGTGCCTCCCACCTACACACTAAAATCCCAAAGATAGATTGTTGGAATGGAACGCGCTCTCTCTCTCTCTCTCTCTCTCCCTGGAGAGACGCATCCTGTTTACCTAATTCCAGAAAGTATTAGACGCAGGTCGGCAAGAGCTAAGGCTTGCGCGGAGGGGGGGCGGGGGGCGGGGGAGAATTCCCAGAATGTGCACTGGGGTGACTGCTGGAATCTAACCAGCTAACACCACGTAACTTGCCATCGCAATCGCTGTCTGGCGAGCTTTCCCGCTGCTTTTCCAGACCACCCTACCCATTAGGGCTTTGGCTTGACATCACACGCTCATTCCTTCTTCAGCCTTCCCCCCCACCCTCCACACGCACCCTCTTTATTGCAGGCAGGTGTTGCTACTGAAATCCAAGGCTTTGTTTACACATCAGGAGGAGTTAAAGAGGGCTGTAATTTGTCTCGTTTCTAACCCGCCGGGTGTTACATACGCTCTAAAAGGGATAAGACAATTGTTTTGTGATTTGTGTAAACACTGGGAGTGGCGTGTCAGTGATTGATTGCCGGCTGATTGGAGAAAGCTAGTGTTAGACTGATCCCCCGCTGAGGGATAATCAGGAAGAAGTCACTTTCTTGATTTAGACCCAGTCTATTGCCCTGTTTCAATGACGGGCTCTGTCGGTGCTCAGGGGGAAGGGGATAGCACTGGGGCAGGTGGCAACGCCATTTTTTGGGGTGGGGGGCCTTCAGGCGGGGGTCTGACACGTGCAGAAACTCATCACCGTCGCTTAAGGGTCTCCGAACCAAGCTGAAAATTCCATGCGTCCCACTTCCTTCTTCAGCCTTCTTGGAAATCCCAGAGACAGATTGTTGGAATGGAATTCGCTCTCTCTCTCTCTCTCTCTCTGGAGGGACGTATTAGGGACGTAAAGTATTAGGCGCAGGTCATTAAGAGCCAAGGCTTGGGGTGGGGGGGGACCCCAGAGTTTGCGTTGGGGGTAACTGCTGGAGTCTGACCAGCTAAAACCACACGGCTTGCCATTGATATCGCTGTCTGGCCAAGTTTTCCCGCTGCTTGTCCAGCGAGACAGGGAATCAACATGGAGATCGTCTGAGAATTACTTTGCACATTTTCTGTTGCAGGACAACACGTCGCGAGTGGAGTGGGACAAAGACACTGAATGAGGAGAAAGTAAGTGCCTTCACCTCTGAAGCTGTTTAACTGGTTGAAATTTCAGTCGCCGTTAATAATAATAATAATAATAATGATGATGATGATGATGTTCAGGGCATTCCTTACAGCGCCTTCCGCACGTCAAAATGTTTCAAAGCCTCTTACGGAGTTCGCTGTATTTTGCGACTGTGTTTTGTGCGTTTGTATTGTGTGGAGTCCGGGAGTGTATTGGTTAGAGGGCTCACATCGCATGCGAGAGGAGCTGGGTTTGATTCCCGGGCAGGGGGCGAAATGTTGGACAAGTTTCCTTACTCCACACACGCGACTCTGTTTACCCAGCAGTAAATAGGAACCCGGGTTGTTAGTCGATTGGCGGATCGCTTTCTCGGGGGGTCATAATCCCCCCCTCAAAAATACAATTAAAAATAATTTTAATAAATGTAGTCACTCAATCCACGGCTGTTTGTGGGGACGCTGCTGTGCGCAATTGGCTGCCGCGTTTCGCACACAAAACATACAGTCAATTCACTTTACAGCGTGTTCTGTGAAGTGCTTTGAGACGTCTCGAAGACGCGATAAGGCGCTGTATCAAATGCGAGGATTATTATCAGTAGTAGTATTATTACGGCAAGATATGTAAAATGGTGGAGAAATTCTTCAATTCAGTTTTCATTGGGAAGCCGGCTTTTCGTGTTTCTTCAAAAGAAAATGATTATTATTAGTAATAATAATGATGATGATGATGATCAGCTCATTCCTTACAGCGCCTTCCGCACGTCAAAATGTTTCGAAGCATCTCATGGAGTTCGCTGTGTATTGCGCCCGTGTATTTTGTGTGTTTGTATCGTGTGGGTGTCCTGTAGCTCAGTGGATGAGGGACTTCAATTCTTGGACCGTCCTCCCGATGTGAAAGGCGCTACACAAATGCAATTTTGTGTTGTATGTGGAGAGGCTATAGAGGCTGGGATTGTTCTCCTTGGAGCAGAGAAGGTTGAGGGGAGATTTAATAGAGGTGTTCGAAATTATGAAGGGGTTTTGATAGAGAAGACAGAGAGAAACTGTTTCCACTGGTGGGTGGGTCAGTAACCAGGGGACGTAGATTCAAGATAATTGGCAAAAGAACCAGAGGGAAGACGAGGAGAACTTTTTTTTAATCCAGAGAGTTGTTACGGTCTGGAATGCACTGCCTGAAAGGGCGGTGGAAGCAAATTTAATAGCAGCTTTCGAAAGGGAATTGGATAGGTACTTAAAAAGGAAAAATGTGTAGGGCAAATGGGGTACGAGCGGAGGAGTGGGACTAGTTGGATAGCGTTTTCAAAGAGCCGGCATAGGCATGATAATGATAATGATAATAATTATTTGATATCGTGCCTCATCACATCTTTGAGACTGAAAACGCTTCACAGAATACACGGCAAAGTGAATCGACTGTACATTTTGCGAGTGAAACGATGGGCCGAATGGCCTCCTTCTGTGCTGTAAGATTCTATGAAACCGGCTTCCAAAGTAAGACTGGAGCCAAGTGAAGGATTTTTCCACAATTCTGCGCCGTCTTAAATATTAAGCTCGGTCCTGTGTGACAATTTGACCTGCGAGCAAACACTTCCCAGCCGCACGGAGGTCAGTGATCAGGAGCAGGGTCACCAATGCCAATCTGTAATCAGCCAACTGGTTATTGAAGAGCTTCACTTTTCGGATTAGATGAAGGAAACTCCCTAATAATAATAATAACAATCCTTGTATTTAATGCAGAACCCGCAATGTCTTGGCTGCCGTGTTTCACCCACAAATATACGGTCAATTCACTTTACGGTCTATTCTGTGAAGCGCTTTGAGACGTCTCGAAGACATGAAAAGCGCTGTATCAAATGCAAGGATTATTATTATTAAAAGAATGCTACATAGGGAATCACTGTCAAACACATAGCTGTGCATTTGTAGGTCCTGGGATGTCTTTCCGACGTGAAGGGCGCTATACAAGTGTAATTTGTTGTTGTTGTTGTTGGAAAAGCTACAGCCATTTTGCCCACAGCAAGGTCTCCGCACACACACACACACACACACTGCAGCCCTAAACGATGTAAACTCCATACGCTCCGAGGCTCTGCAATGCAAATGTGTGGAAAGGAATTTGGTCCAGTGGGAGCGTGAACGACATTGAGAGCGAATGGCAAACGGGTTTGGTTCCTTGGCAGTACGTACTGTGGGAGTGAACGAGAGTGGGGGCTGGTCCATTGGGACCGTGTTCAATCGAAGTGATTGGGAATGATAGCAGATGGTTGAAAGGGTGGTGAAAATCTGGAACTCTCTCTCCCTCCCTCCCTCCCTCCCTCCCCTGAAAGGCTGTGGATTATGGCTGGATCCATTCAAATTTTCAAGACTGAGGTGGATGGATGTTTGTTAGGCAGGGTGTCAAGGGATACGGGGCAAAGGCAAGTAATTGGGGTTGAGGCACAGATCAGGTTGATCTAACGGAATGGCAGAGTAGGCTCGAGGGCCTGAATGGCCTCCTCCTTTCCTTGCGTTCTTTGATCACGTGCTCGTTTTCACTTTATTGCAAATCTCATCGGGAAGAATATCTGCGCTCGGGAAAACTGGTTGGTTTCAGATTATTGGTGCGCTTTATCGGTGTTTTGGGTTTGACCCTTTGCTGTATCTGAATTGTCTTTGTGAGTAAAAGAGAGAGAGAGAGAGAGCGCGAAAGAAAGAAAGAAAGGGAAAAACAAGTTGCATTTGATAGCGTCTTATGAAAAGGTCTCAAAGTACTTTACAGTGACAGAGGCTGTTTTTGTTGGCAAACGTGTTGCAAACGGTGCAAGTGGCCCCACGCCTGGGCTCCTGCTCCACCTGCCTTTTCCCCCTCTGTGCAACCAAATCCTCCATGGTGTCCATCCTGCAAAACATCCCCTTCAGTGCCAGGACTTGAGAGAAGAAATTTGCACTAATCAGCACCTTCCCGCGTTGAAACATCTCACCACGTGTTTTTCTTTTTTTTCACACATCGAGTGCTGCCAAGTGTAGTGACTGTGTTTGTAGGCGACCGTGGCTAGTCCATTTTATGCACAACAGGGTCCTGCAAACAGCCTTGAAGTAAATTCCGATTTATAATAATAATAATCCTTGCATTTGCTACAGCCCCTTATCACGTCTTCGAGACGTCTCAAAGCGCTGCACAGGATATAACGTAAAGTGAAGTGACTTTGTATTTTGTGGGTGAAATATCTGAAGGATTGTTAGTCCCGGAAACTGGGAGGAACTCCCTTTTCTTTTCCCGTGGCATCTTTAGTGTCCACCTGCCGAAGAGGCATGGCAACCTCTGAGATTTCACCCCCCGCCCGCCCACCTCACCCCCGCCCGCCCACCTCACCCCCCGCCCACCCACCTCACCTAAAACTGTACTGGAGAGTCAAACTCAAACATCCTGATACCGGGGTTCAAACTCACGACCTTCTGAGGTGAGAGTGCGACTGGCTGAGCCATGAGGCGGTATGGATATTAATAATAATCCTTGCATTTGATAGAGCCCCTTATGTTGTTCAGACGTCTCAAAGCCCTTCACACTTTACGGATGCTGTAAAGTGTAGTGACTGTGTATTGTGCGGGCGAAACACGGCAGTCAATTGCGCACAGCAACGGCCCGCAAACAGTGGTGGATTGAAGTGACCAGATTATTATTAGTAATAATAATAATCCTTGCATTTGAGTTTTTTTTGTCAGAGGGATTAATCCCCCCCAGAAAACGATCTGCATCAAAGTGCCCATATATGCTGCGATTAGGACCCTTCCACACTCCCCCGCCACCCCCCCCCCACCCCTCCCCCCACCACCACCCACCCCACCTATCTCCTCGCTTTGGCACTGATTAGGCATTGGAGTGGAGTCCTGTAGCTCAGCGGTTAGAGCTCTCGCCTCACAAGCGAGAGGACCCGGGTTCGATTCCCGGGCAGGGGGCGAAACGTTGGGCAAGTTTCCTTACTCCACACACACACACGCACACACGCCTCTGTTTACCCAGCAGTAAGTAGGAACCCGGTAGTTAGTCGATTGGGGGATCGCTTTTCCGGGGGTTAATAATCCCTTCAAAATAACTAATAATAATTCGGTCACTTCAATCCGCGACTGTTTATGGGGACTCTGCCGTGCGCAATCGGCTGCCGCGTTTCGCCCACAAAACATACAGCCAATTGACTGTACGGTGTATCCCGTGAAGCGCTTCGAGACGTCTCGAAGACGCGATAGGGAGCCGTATCAAATGCGAGGATTATTATTATTATTACTATTATTATTCCAACATGGACACTGATCAGCTTGAGCATTGTGCAGGACGTGAGATCAGGCAGTGTTGGTGCGTCTCACAGGACCAGCTATACCTTTGGGGGCATTTCAGGTCAGAATTCCCCAACCATACTAATGTTGGCTCTCCCTCTCTCTCTCTACGGAGAACAGACGGATAAATCTCTCCTAAATCTTTTTTGCTATTGAGCCGCAAGCCCATATGGAAAAGATTACTATCAAACACACACGTAAAACCACTGGAATGAAGCTGGTTTCGACTCACATTCCCGGTGACTTTATAGCACTTTCACCCCCTTTTTGCCTGAGGCTTAAAGGGACACTGATTTTTCTTTTTAAATAAAAAAAATATTTTTTATTGAGAGAGAATTGAGAAAGGTGAGGTGGCCCGTAGTGCGTAGGAGGAAGGGAAGAGAGTGACGCAGAGATGAGTCCTCTATAATAATAATAACAATCCTTGCCCTATCACGTCTCCGAGACATCTCAAAGCGCTTCACAGGGTATACGGTAAAGTGGATTGACTGTATATTTTGTGGGCGAAACGCGGCAGCCGATCGCGCACAGCAGCGTCCCCACAAACAGTCGCGGATTGAAGTGATCAATTTATTATTATTTCTTTGAAGGGATTATTAACCCTACTTCCTACTTCCTGCTGGGTAAACAGAGGTGCGTGTGTGGATTAAGAAAACTTGCCCAATGTTTCGCCCTGCCCCGGCAATCGAACC